ATGGGTGGCAGCAGGAGGGGGGGTCCACAGGGGCTGGGAGAGGCCCTGTTTTGGGTGCCGTGATGCTCCCTGGCGAGCAGAGGGGGAGGGCGAGGTCCCTCATTTTTGGGAGCCATGCAGAGAGGGGATGCTGCCCAGGTAGGCTTGGAAATGGGAGGAAGAGGGGGTGTCACCTGCTGTGCCCCCCCAAAAACACCGCCGAGCCTGGTTTCTCCAGCACCTGTGGGCAGAAGAAGCAAGAGAAGGAGCTGAGCAGCTGCCTGGGCTCAAGCCCCCCCCCAAAAAAAACTGCTGCCCTGTGCTTGAGAGCAGAGAGGCGATGGGCAAAGGGAGCTTGGGGCCGGGGGGGGGCACAGCCTCACTCCCTGCTCCCAGATTTGGGTGTCCCCCCAATGGGGAGGGGACCTCTGTGCATGTGAGGCTCGGAGCAGGGGGGGGCTCCTGCCCCCATAGCACCGATCCAAGCCCCACGGCACCCAGGGCTGCTCACCCTGCACCCTGTGCTGCCAGAGGGGTGTTGGGGGGGGGGAACAGCCAGCCCCCCCATGGCCACGGCTGTGGGGGGGGGGTCCAGGGAGGGGTGAGCACTGTGCTTCCCTCCTCGCCCGTCCTTGCAGGGCACTCCTCCAACAGCCGCATCGTGTGGGAGCACACGCGGGGCCGCTACACCTGCATGCAGTGCCCCTTCTCCACTGCCTCGCGGGAGGAGATGACCCTGCACATCGAGGACCACCGCAAGAACCCCCCGCCCCCCGGGCGCCTGGACGCAGACATGGGTACGGCCCCTGGGATGGGGTGGGGGGGGACAGCGGGAGGGACCCCTGGGATATTCCCAGGGAGCAGGTTTGGCCATGGGGACCCCCTCCCAACTGCTGGGATACTCCCAGGGAACAGGTTTGGCCATGGGGACCCCCTCCCAACTGCTGGGATGCTCCCAGGGAGCAGGTTTGGCCATGGGGACCCCCTCCCAACTGCTGGGATACTCCCAGGGAGCAGGTTTGGCCATGGCCATGGACAACGCAGGCCCCGTTCCCTCTGCCCTGGGTGGGGGTGACTGTGGGTGGGCACCGGGCTTCGGCTCCTGGACACCCCCCCCCAACCTGCAACAGTGCCCTGGGGAGGGGGTGGGTCTGGATGGGGGGTCCATCCCCCTTCCTGCAGGATTTGGGGTGCAGGAGGCTGGGGCGCAGCGCTGACAGCTCTTTTCCCTCTCCCTCCAGATTTCGGGGTGGGCATCACCTCTTTCCACGCCAAGCTGACGCCGGAGATGGAGAACTCCCTGTACTCCCAGCTCTGATGCCCCCGTGGCTCCCGTGGGACTGCTCCTGCTCCTCCTCATCCCTCCTTGCTCCCCCTCCTTTCCCCACCCCCCCCAAAGCTGGGCGGGGGGGGCACAGCACAGCCCCATCTCACCACGCTGGGACAGAGACCCCCCCTCCCCGGGTTTCGGGAGCATCCTCCAGCACAGGGTGGTGCAAGGGGGGAGTGGTTGGTTGGGTTTTTTTCCCTCTTGAATTTCTACCCTCCCTTTTATTTTTGGAAACTCTAAACCCCCCCCCCGGGACCCCTCCCCGAACGGTTTTGTTGCTTCAGCTCCAGGAGCTCTGGGGGGAGCCCAGTAGTTTGCTCAGGAGTTAGTGGACTTCTCTGGAATGAGGTCTGGAAATAATAAATGGGAATTGTACAGGAGGGAAAAGCCTCTGTTGGTGCCTGGGGGGCGATGGGGTGCCCCCCCACCCAAAGGAGAGGGTAAATGGAGGGTGAAGAGGGGGTGTCAACACATCCCAAACTGCTCCTGAGAAGCAGTTGCAGCCTCTGCCAGCTGCACCCCAGCACCCAGAATGGACCCCCCCAAAGCAGGGCAAGACCTCAGCCCCCCCCGCCTCCAGCGCCCATAGAGCCTCAGTACCCGTAACCCCCCCACACACCCCCACCCCATCAGGAGCAGGGGGGGGGCAGGGGGCAACCAGCACCAGGACAAGGCCCCTGCTCCCTCCCAAGGGCTCTCCCGTGCCCTGATCCCTGTTCCTGAGGGGGGGCTGCACCCCCTCCCCGTGGGAGGCTGCACGTTCCCACCCCCGGGCTCCCCGGGTCCCGCTTCGCCTGCGCAGGCGCCGGCCCCGTCCCAGCAGGGTGAAAAGTTTGCTCCAAACTGGTTTGGGTGAAGACGTGCCCCAGCACGCGGGTGTCAACGCTGCCTGGGGTGCCCACATCACCCCAGGGTGCCCATGCGTGCTTTTGCCCACAGCAGCTGGGGTGCCCACACCATCTGGGGTGCCTGTGCCACCCTGGGGTGCCCACAGCACCTGGGGGGGCCTATGCCACCTCACGTGCCCATGTCACCCTGGGGTGCCCACGCTGCCTGGGCTTCCCATGCCATCTCGGCGGGCCTGTGCCACCCGGGGGTGCCCACTCTTCCTGGGGTACCCATGGCACCTGGGGTGCCTACACCACCCTGGGGTATCAGCACTGCTTGGGGTGCCCACACCACCCAGAGTGCACACACTGTCTGGGGTGCCTGTGCCACCCTGGGGTGCCCACACTTCCTGGGGTGCCCACACCATCTGGGGTGCCTGTGCCACCCTGGGGTGCCCATGCCACCTCGGGGGGCCTATGCCACCTCATGTGCCCTTGTCACCCTGGGGTGCCCACGCTGCCTGGGCTTCCCATGCCATCTCGGGGGGCCTGTGCCACCCTGGGGTGCCCACAGCACCTGGGGTGCCTACACCACCCTGGGGTATCAGCACTGCCTGGGGTGTCCACACCACACTTCCTGGGGTGCCCATGGCACCTGGGGTATCAGCACTGCCTGGGGTGCCTACACCACCCAGAGTGCCCACACCGTCTGGGGTGCCTATGTGACCCTTGGGTGCCCATGTCACCTCAGGTTGCCCACACCACCATGGTGTCCCCACACTGTCTGGGATTCCCATGCCACCTGGGGTGCCCACACCACCTCGGGGGGCCTGTGTCACCTCACATGCCCATGTCACCCTGGGGTGCCCACGCTGCCTGGGCTTCCCATGCCATCTTGGGGTGCCTGTGCCACCCTGGGGTGCCCACACCACCCTGGGGTGCCCACACCATCTGGGGTGCCTGTGCCACCCTGGGGTGCCCACACCACCCTGGGGTGCCCACACTTCCTGGGGTGCCCACACCATCTGGGGTGCCTACACTACCCTGGGGTGCCCATGCCACCTCGGGGGGCCTAAGCCACCTCACGTGCCCATGTCACCCTGGGGTGCCCACGCTGCCTGGGCTTCCCATGCCATCTCGGGGTGCCTGTGCCACCCTGGGGTGCCCATACCACCCTAGGGTGCCCACACTTCTTGGAGTGCCCATGGCACCTGGGGTGCCCACACCACCCTGGGGTATAAGCACTGCCTGGGTGCCCACACCACCCAGAGTGCACACACTGTCTGGGGTGCCTGTGCCACCCTGGGGTGCCCATGCCACTTCAGGGTGCCTATGCCACCTCACGTGCCCATGTCACCCTGGGGTGCCCATGCTGCCTGGGCTTCCCATGCCATCTCGGGGTGCCTGTGCCACCCTGGGGTGCCCACACTTCCTGGGGTGCCCATGGCACCTGGGGTGCCTACACCACCCAGAGTGCCCACACCGTCTGGGGTGCCTATGCGACCCTTGGGTGCCCATGTCACCTCAGGTTGCCCACACCACTGTGGTGTCCTCACACTGTCTGGGGTGCCCATGCCACCTGGGGTGCCCACACCACCTCAGGGGGCCTCTGTCACCTTACATGCCCATGCCACCCTGGGGTGCCTACACTGCCTGGGGTGCCCACGCCACCTCAGGTGCCCATGTGGCCTCACTGGTCTGTCTCCAGTCACTGCCACAGCAGGGGACAGGAGGGTTGGCACCCCACTGCTCTGCACCCCGGGGTCCAGAGCTGCCGCCAGCCCCCGGAGGGGACACAAACCCCAGGGAAACTTCCCCTTCCCACCCCCCCCTCCCTTTCCCCTCAGCCCTTTCCCAGCCACATTGATCACAGAACACAGCTCCTGGGACTGGGGGGGTAAGGGGGGGGTGCTTCACCCTCCCACTTCCCCCCCTGTTGCCAGCAGCAAGCACAGCCGATTGGGCGGGGGGGGACACAGAGCAGGACCCCCACAGCTCTGCCCCATGCTGGGGCATCAGGAGGGAGCCGAAGGCAGCCTGGGCTTTCCTCCCAGCTCTAGCCCACCAGGGTCTGGGGCTGCCCCCATCCAGCATGGACCCCCCCTTCACTCCAGGCCCTGAGAAGGGGCACAGATGTCATAGAATCATAGAATTGCCCAGGCCGGAAGGGACCTCCAAAGGTCATCTAGTCCGACCCCCCCGCAGTCAGCAGGGACACCCCCAACTAGACCAGGTTGCCCAGGGCCTTGTCGAGCCTCTCCTTGAATGTCTCCAGGGAAGGGGCCTCAACCACCTCCCTGGGCAACCTGTTCCAGTGCTCCACCACCCTCACAGTGAAGAACCCTCTCCTCATCTCCAGTCGAAATCTGTTCCCCTCCAGCTTGAAGCCATTGCCCCTCGTCCTGTCACTGCAGGCCTTTCTAAACAGGCTCTCCCCAGCCTTCCTGTAGCCCCCTCAGGTACTGGAAGGCTGCTATTAGGTCTCCCCGGAGCCTCCTCTTCTCCAGGCTGAACAACCCCAGCTCCCTCAGCCTGTCCTCGTAGCAGAGGTGCTCCATCCCCCTGATCATCCTTGTGGCCCTCCTCTGGACCCTCTCCACCAGGTCCATGTCCTTCTTATATTGAGGGCTCCAGACCTGCACACAATACTCCAGGTGAGGTCTCACCAGAGCAAAGTGGCAGAATCCCCTCTCTGGACCTGCTGGCAATGCATCTTTTGATGCAGCCCAGGATGGGATTGACCTTCTGGGCTGCAACTGCCCACTGCCTGTGCTGGATGCGCTGAAGCCTGAGCAGAAGCCCCCAGCTGCTGAGACCTGATGGAGCAGCAACTTGTTGCAGAGCCAGAGCAGGACCCCTCCAGCCCCATGGAGGGGGGGACCATGGTGACATCGGGCACAGCTTGGACCCCTCCACCCCCAGCAGGCACAGGCAGCAGCCCAGCTGGCAGCGGGGTTCTTCCTCCCTGCCTGGCACCTGTACCCCAAACCTGTACCCTTGTGGGCAGAACACAGGTGCCCACCCCAAACCCACCACAGGACCCTTCCCCAACCTCTCCTGAACCACCCAAGCTTTGCCATGCAGCCTGCATGCCACATTCATGCCAGGATTTAGGATAGTTTGTACCTTTTCATCACACTTCAGAGCCCCAGCTCCATCCCCATCCCCAGAAGCAGCCCTGGTGGTCCCAAATCAGCCCCCCCAGCCCAGCTGGGGCTCAGGGCAAAGCCAGGCCACGTTGGGGACATGGGACAGTCACTGCTCCTAGAAGAGATTCCAGTAAAAAAACCACCCTGCAAAGCTTCCAGCCAGTGCTCCCACAGCTCGGGTGTTCCCAGAGCAGAGGCAGCCAAGGCAACAGTCACCACAGTGGATTTTTAAAAACTGAAGTCTTTATTAAAAGTTTTATCCAAATTTTGTAACAAAAGATACAAAAGGGCTGGAGATCCTTATTTCTGGGACTAGTCTGACCAATCGAAACCTGACAGTTACTAGGCTAATATAAAATCCATACAATCTGCTAAAAATGCAGGGAAAAAAAAAATTAGAAGTAACTGAGGGAGCCGAAGGCAGCCTGGGCTTTCCTCCTGCTGCAATCCCACACCATGGACCCCCCTCAACAGTTCACCACCCCCAGCCTCGCCATGTCGCCTTCTCCGGCCCACCGGTGGGGGCTGAGCCCCGGGGGGGTCACCGTCCAGAGGCAGCACCGGCCCCGGATGACGATGGAGAGAAACTGGAGGGAGCAGACAGAGCCAGCTGGACAGACAGAGCCTGGACAGACAGAGCAGCAGCAGCCTCCATGGGATGGAGTGAGCAGGAGGGCTCCCCGTCACAGTGGGGCAGCCCCACAGTCAGCCATCTGGGTGGGGAGGGGGATTTCAGAAGCCGAGGGGACCCTCAGCCAGGGTGAGTAGGGCTTGGGGGGCCAGGGAGGCTGCACAGGCAGCAGTGGGGCACAGCAGCCCCCCCAAGCCAGCAGGTGGGAACAGGGCTGGGAACCTCCCAGCTCTAGT